TGGGGAGAGAGATGTGTAAACAAAAAAACTATGTGGTGGAGGATGGAGCAAGAGCTCTCCTGGAAACACCGGAGATGACCTCCCAGAGGGCAAGCCCCTTGAAAGGTGAGAAGGATTTTGCCAGGCAGAAAATAAGTAGGCTTCTAGGTAAAAAGGCAGAATGAACATGCCATCTATCTTCACACCCTTCCTCAAGCTCACTAAACTGCCCTGAAAAGACTTTTTAATCAATGAAGATGAAGTGAACAGGCAAGGAGAGTAATAGGAGCAACAAAATTTTGAAAGTTAGAAAGCAGATGGACAAGTGGAAACTGACTTAGCAGACTCAAGACAGCTCAACCCTAAGCTAGCAGTGGAGAAAACTGAGAACTATCCTTTTGACACCAGAAAATCCCCAAAGGGCCTAAGAATTGGCAAATTGGTACCTCTGGAACTGGGAGAAAGAGGAAGGAAGAAAGGTTAAAAGGTGCTTAGAAAATAGATCTCTGGAACCCTTCACCCATTCTATCTCACTGGATGACTGCTCCTTCCCCACCACAGCCAAAGGTGAAGTTTATTATTTGGAAATGTAAAAGTCTGCCCTGAGAGTAAGCCAGCATAACTGAGGGCATGACTACTCTATGAAAAATAGAAAAATGTAATAACCATGTATCATAAAATAAATGTCTTATGCTGAGAGCCCACCCAGCCCTCTGATCTGCATAACTCCCAGAAAACCTTTTGCTAGGAAACCTCACTAGTCCAAGAGGAAGAAACTAAAGAAACTTACTTGGCAGTTCCCAACAGTAGCTACCTAGATCACCCTACAGTAAACAGCCAAGTTTTCAGGCCCCACCTCCTTGCTCAGAACCTCTGATCAGCTTGTAAGTCTCCTACTCTTGCTCATTGTCTGACAGCCAAAGATTTCTAGATATGGGAGGAAAGCCTGTAATTGAAGATTGATGACAAAATTAAATTAAACAGAGAAAAAGCAAGACAGAAGAAAAACTACGCAAGGAAAAGGAAACTTTTAGTAAACTATCATTAATAAGCATCTCAGACAGCTAAGAAAAGATACTACATTCATGAAAAGTGCAGGATGCTTACAGAAAATGACAAAAATTAAAACCCTTGGAAATTAAAATTCAGTAGAAGAGTTGAAAGATAAAACTGAGGAAATCTCCCAGAAAGTAGAGCAAAAGACAAATAGATGAAAGGGGAATAAAGGATAAGAAAATAAAAGTCCATGTCCAGGGGAACAGCTATCCAAACAGGAGTTCGTAAAGTAAGATGACAGAAAACAGGAGGATAAAATCAAATTTCCCAGAACTAAAGGCTCTCCGTTTCCAACTGAAAGCATCTAAGCATGTTCCAGGGTGAAGAGACCCATATCAAAATACATCATTATGAAATACCAGAACACTCTTACAGGCTTCCAGAGAGAAAAATTGGTCACATGCAAGGAATTAGGATCAAACTGTCTTCTCACTCTGAAAAGCAACATTGGAAGCAAAAAGATAATGGAACAATGTCTAAAATTCTGAAGGAAAATTATTTTCAGCTTCTAATTCTATACCCAGCCAAATTCCCAAGAAAAAGTAAAGTAGAAAAAAAGAGGCCAGGCACACTGGTTCATGCCTGCTATAATCCCAGCACTTTGGGAGGCCAAGGTGGGAGGATTGCTTGAGCCCAGGAGTTTGAGACCAGCCTGGCAACATAGTAGGACTTAGTCTCTACCACACACACACACATACACACACACACAAAATAAGCTGGGCGTGGTGGCACATGCCTGTGGTCCCAGCTACTCAGGAGGCTGAGGCAAGAGGATCACCTGAGCCGGGGAGGTTGAGGCTACAGTGATCTGTGATCATGCCACTGCACTCCAGCCTGGGTGACAGAGGAAACCTTGCCTCAAAAAACCAACCAACCAACCAACCAACCAACAAACAAAAACATTTTCAGACACAAGGAATCCAACATCTGTTTCCCATGTACTCTTTCTAGAAAGCTACCAAAACAAGAATGTAAATCAAGAAAGAAAAAAATGTAGAATACAAAAAGCAGGGAAGTTATCACAGAAGAGAGGTAAAGCAAATCTAGAGGATAGCAACTGTGTGCCAGATACAGGGAGAAATGAAGGCACATTGGAGCAGAGGGACTCAAGGGAGAGCAAGGTCCAGGCCTTGCCATCACCATGCCCTCTGCTACTCCACCATCTTCAGGACCTGATGAAACCACTCGGGCAGTATTCAATACAGCAAAAAAAATAAACCAACAAAGGAAGACATGAGATCCAGGAAGTTGAATTAACCCCACAGAAAAGCAAAGGGAAGACCCAGGATAACAGCTGTGTATCAGGCCCCAAAAGGCTAGCAGTTCAGATAAAAGAAGAATGGAGAGCTCCAAGAGGAGTATCTCCAAGGAAAGTAACTGCCAGATTACTGATGTCATTGACCTTGCAGAATATTGTCTTAAGAGGCTATTAGGAGGTATAAGAAAAATTAGCAACAGATACCAAAAAAAGAAACAAATGAAAAACTATAGAAAGTACTAACCTTAGGAAAAACAAAAGAAAAAAAATATGCATAGTATGCTACAATGTTCAGTTACAAATAATATTGCATAGGCATAATAAGGTAAACAGTAAAATTGATTTAAGCAAAAATTATGATATAACTGAAGCAGGATAGTTTTAGAAAACTATCATTAATAAGAGTCAAGGAAGTAACCATGTCCTCAGGACACAGCAACCATCCGGACCATACAGTCAACAAAATTAAGCCCTAGCATGGGCATTGTAAAGTTCATTAAAGCAAAGCTATCTCCAGTAGGGAAAGAAAGCAGGAGCATTTTGATTTTACCTGTCCTCAAACTCAGCCTTTGCTCATTGTAATAGTAAAAAACACACCCCTGGGTGGAGATTTAAGATGCATGTCTCATTAGCATGGGTGTGGTGGCATGTGCCTGTGGTCCCAGATACTCATGATGTTTGAACAAGCACGTACAGCTACTGCGCATGTGCACCCAGAAGACCACCCAGAACATGCTTACGAGCAACACCTCTTCCTACCGCCTCATGAATAATCATGTAAAATTTACAGAAAGGTAGTTTCCCTAGGTACCAGTCTTTGCTGTCTCATCCTCACGAGAAGCCCAAGCTGAATCTTCTCTCTCTCAGGTGTCCTGTCTATTCTGCACCTAACTTTTACAGTATTCTTTTTCCTTTGCAATAAATTGTTCTATCTCCTTTGCTGTGTGTCTTTTGTTTAAATCTTTTTAAACTAAGAAGATGAGAACCAAAGTCCCACAATTGGTGTCAACATAATTATATGAATAAGATAAGTTTAGGGAAATAGAGAAAATGATGGTATAAAAGGGCTAATTCCTTATCTACCATAACAGGAAGACAATAGAGAACATCTAAAACTGAAGAATTTCACGTAGTACTCAGCATGATGGAAATGTATACATGCCAGAAGAAACAGCTAAAAGCTGAAAACAGTTGCTTCTGGGAAGACAAATTGAGAGTGGTGAACTGCTGTATTTTGAAGTATGCCTTTTAGTATAATTTGAAGTCTTAAATTATGTGCATATATTAATTTGACAAAGTAAAATTTAATTTTCTTTAAAAAGAAGCATTAAGGACTTTCTAAATAGAGAAAATCAGATGTGCAGAAGCACGAAGCTGTGAAAGAACTGGGTTTTTCTAGGAAACTCTAAGTGCCACAGTAACACAAGAGATGCAGGTGGGAAGCAGCATCAGATGCTGGAGAGCAAAAGCAGTGTCTCCCTCACCAGTGCTGCAGACTCTGGCAATGCATCAGCCTCTTTCAGCTTCCTCCTTGGTAAAATTTGACTAAAAATAGCTCTTACTTCATAGGGATTTGTAAGAATGCAACGACAATGGAAACAGACAACTCGCCATACAAAGATATGGGATGAATACCTATGTCCCTCGGAGCAGAGAGTGTTCTCAGTCTGCAGCTCAGAGGGTTGAGTACGGGTGAGAATTGCCCAAGTGAGAAGCTGTTTACTGGCTAGGGTAAACAAGTCCCCCAGAATTAGGGAATGTCACAGCTGGAAACCACAAATGCCCTTGACTTACAGAAACAACAGGCTCTCCAGAGGGAGCCTGGGCCTGGGATCTGATAGCTGCACAGCTGGGAGGGGTGGGTACCCATTCATGGGTCCTACAGGCCCTGAGGCTGGTCAGGTTGGAGTCTCTACTGGGTGGTCTGGGGGAGAGGCAATGTCTGGAACCACCCTCCCAGCACTCCCACCCACTATTCTCCCCTTCCAAGGAGTATCACTCTGCTTCCTATTCTGCCAAACAGTTGCTTCAAATTCCACCATGAAGCTCAGTGTAATGCAAATAACAGTAGTCAGTTTCTAACACTTATATGGTACTTACTGTACATCAGGTACTACTCCAAACACTTTGCATGTATTAACTCATTCAATCTCAATTAACCCTATGAAGTGCATCCTATCATTATCCCCACTTTACAGATGAGGCAGCTGAGAGGTTATATAACCTGCTCAGTGACATCATTGGAAAGGGGATGAGCCAGGACTCTAAGCCAGGCAGTCTGCCTCCAGGGTCTGTAGTCAGAATCACCACATGCAATTCTCCTCTCAGGCTTGAGACTCCCAACCGTCAAATTACTCAACTATAACATGGGGATACTCAGGGAGATGGCCTCAAAGATCTCTTTCCACTGGAGTACTTCTTTCCGTGCAATTAGTCCATTAGTCATGGATGTATGCCTGAGGGTCAGGAACCTTCACCAAGGACAGGTTCCAAAGAAGAGTAGGGTATATATGTGGCTCCAGAATGGGAGGAGCAAGAGGCACCAGCCCACACAGGGAGGTTAAACTGGAGAGAAAGCTCAGAAAGTAAATATCACCTCACATAGTTTTGTGCACACAGCCTTTCCACCCCACCATTCCTGTCCTCACAGCCTCCTTGGACCCTGCTCTCTGCAGAGACCCTGGCATGGAGCATACAGACTCCTTACCTGTGACGATGCAGGTGAACCTGACGTCGCTGTCCTCAGACACAGCCCGGGACTTGAGTGTGGTCTCGAATAGCGGCTGGGTCTCCTCTGTGAGCTGAGCAATGATGGAGCAGAAGGTGCTCCTAGGAGAGGCAAAGAGCTATTCAGAGCTGGCCTTCCCCACAACAAACAGCACAGCCTGGCCTGTCCAAGGGAGCTTCCATCTCACCATGCCTGTTCATCTTCCTGCAGCCAGAGCTCCAGCACCCAGGCAAGTCTTTCTTCAAGGCAGCCTGTGCCTCTTGGCTAGGCTGGGGCCAGGTATCAAGGGGTTGAATGGAATCTTGACCCAGACCCATTACAATAGGCAAGTTACTGACCATGGGCCAGGCTCCTGAGCATGCCATGCTACCAGCTGAGGCATCCCATCCCATCATTGTTGGGGGGGGGCTTACTTCACCCTGCACCTTTCATCTCCAGGGACACTGGTGCATGAGGGAGACACACATATAAGTAGGTCAAGCCTCGGAGATGGAACCCCCAGCATAGCAGAGCCTCCATTCATGCCAAGAGGGGAAGGCCAGCCAACCCTCAGTGACTCAAGGTCCTAAGAGCACAGGAGCCTCTCCTAGAGCTTGGGCTTAGGAAAAAAGCTCCTACATTTGTGAGTGCAGACCCACAATGGACAAAGAATAAGCTGGTCAATGCTAGGGGTCTAGACCCAAAGGGGAACTCTAATTCATAAGGGTATCAGAAAGGAGAGACCCACCCCAAATGAAGCTGAGAAGCAGCCTTGGAAAGCCAGCTGTGGCTCCCCTGCTCCATCCCTGGATACCACATGCTGAAGTGAAACATGGTTGGCTGCTCCAGGACCAACCAGCAGGAGTGCCAAACCACAAACAGATCCACCCCTGCAAAAGCCAGAACTTTTAGTTCCCTTCTCCAGTCCATCTCCCAGATTTCAGGGGCATCAGTAAGCACTGAGTCCAGTACAAACTCACCAACAATGCTCAGGGCTTACAGTCTTCTTCCTGGGCCCAGGAAGCAAACCACCATGCCAAACCCTTTCAAGGGCCAGCAGAGACACAGTGCGTTCCTAGGTGTGAAGCGCCACCACATAGCCAGGTTGTGTGGTGCACAAGCCATGCCCGGCCCTCCCTCCCCAGGCATACATCCCATTGTGAGCAGCAGAGAGGACTGTGAGGGGGGCAAAGTGAAGAGAAGCAGGAGAAACTGTAGTGAGAAAGACACATCATTCAAAGGTGCCTTTCCCTGTGCCTCAGAGGAAGGGATGGTCACCCAAGGGCAATGTTTGTCTGTCCATGGCCTCTCTGCCAGGGGCCAAGAGAGTCTGTGGAAGCAGAAGCAAACAGGATCTAGAACCCTACACACTTTGTGGGGAGGGGTTCCACATTCAATGTATCTTTTCTGTGAATATTATTCTAGACTTGAGTTTGAAGAGAAGGGTTGTACCCCAGAGAATATCTGGAATCAAGTAAGACTTCTGGACTGATGGGGGTCCCGCTATGGTTTCACCACAGGAATGCAGATACCTGGGCATTCCCGGAGTTGACAAGGGCCCTCCCCGACAAAGATCACCCATAAAGGGGATCCCAATCTCACATACCTGAACATTTGAGCCAGGTCTGCAGTTAGACATATTCTGTAACACTCCCTACAACCTTCTGTCACCTACAACTCATCTGTGCAATAAACCTCTTTTCCTTTTCTTCTTAAGCCACTCAGAAATAGAGGGTCCTCAGGTCCTAGGCTATCAACTCCCTGAACACTCAGGAAGTGTTAATATCTGAAAATGTTTCTTGCTGCTATCATACTAACAGCAATTTCTGATTTGGGGAAATATCAAATCTCAATCAACAGTTTCTAGAAACCACCAGGGTAAACATAATCCTACTTCCATGAGTCTGTAGTTAATTCAAACCATCCCTAATTATGTCCTCCCTGCATAATTTGAATACTATCTCATCCATGACCTTGACCCTGGATCCAATATTCAGTTGAGACTCCTAGGTATGAAGCCGCTTGGACAAGTCTAAGGAAATCATTTCGGCTACTGGATAAGTGAGACAACAGGGAAGCTATGCTTTAAGAAAATTTGCAGAGACAAATGCTCATGCTAGATATTGAAAAACGGGTCGGGCGCGGTGGCTCATGCCTGTAATCCCTCCACTTTGGGAGGCTGAGGCGGGCAGATCACGAAGTCAAGAGATCGAGACCAGCCTGGCCAACATGGTGAAACCCCGTCTCTACTAAAAATACAAAAATTAGCCAGGCGTGGTGGCAGGCACGTGTAGTCCCAGCTACTCGGGAAGCTGAGGCAGGAAAATCGCTTGAACCCGGGAGGCAGAGGTTGCAGTGAGTCGAGATCGCGCCAGTGCACTCCAGCCTGGCGATAGAGAGAGACTCCTTCTCAAAAAGAAAAAAAAAGAAAAAAGAAAAAAACAAGTAGTTATTTTATTTCATTATTCTTTTTGAATGGAAAAGAACATATCTTCTCAAACTTTCCACATTAGGTCCTAAGCTGTATTACAAAAATGTTTACATTAGAAAACAAGTAACAGCCGAAAGGTGCGGCTAGATGAAAGCCTTCTCTTTAGGGAAGTGGGCTTGGGGTACATTTGGAGGCACAGGGAGTCACTTTATATACTGTCATGTTCTGCTGAATGTCACACAGCTTCTCATTGCGACAAGCTTTCTGTCCCCATCCTCCAAACCACTCGAATGTGGGATAGACTCTGAGTGTGCTGCGCCCTATGCCCTGGAGAGCCAGGAAGTCCACACATCTGGAAATGGTCTTGTCCAACCCTGACGAGTCCTTCCAACTCCATGACTTCATAAGGATATCACAGACTAATCATATGTCTCTAAGGAACACCAGAATCATTGGTTTTCATGATGTTCAGCGGAACCTAACCTTGCCCTTAGGTTAGGTTTGGTTTGCCCAGGTCCTCTCCTTTCAACGCTTACCACACTCCACTTGGAATTAGTTGTGATATCCTCAGTTCCACCCATGAGCCACACAGAACAAAGTCTCCTCAGTGTTCATCCCCATCAAGGACCATGGACATAGTAGTTGCTAATCATGTCTGTAAACATTAGCTATTCAGAAACCAGTTAGCTATTCTGAAATCTTTCTCTGTGTGAAGAAAATGTAGCTAACTCTCCCCAAATCTGTCAGAGTCTGGGATGAGGCCCAAGTGGTGGGAAGGAGCCAGGAAATGTTCTCATTTTGATTGTAACAGTCAGTTCAGCCAAGGGTAAAGAGCTGTCCTTCAGTTCAGGAGGCAAGAAGACAGTCATTCACCCAGCAAACCTGGACCATGAGCCTGCTCAGACCTTGCCCTGACTCTGCAGCAGATTCAGAGAATAAGTTATGCAGGAATACACTAACGTGGTATTCTCTGATCTCACAGAGTTCAGTCTTCAGGGATGGGGAGGAACCAAAGAAAAGGAAAATTCAGAGAAACAGGAGGTAAAAGGGAACTTAAATGACTGCAGAAAAAAATTTTAAAAGGTAGTTGCCATGGTTAGAAGAAGATAGACAATAAGGTATCACACCTAGATATGTGGTTCCAAAAACATGAAAACCTAGAATTGGGGCCAGGCACAGTGGCTTACGCCTCTAATCCCAGGACTTTAGGAAGCCAAGGCAGGAGGATCCCTTGGAGCCAGGAGTTCAAGACCAGGGAATACAGTGAGACCCTGTTTCTACAAGAAAATTTTTAAAAATTAGCCAGGCATCATCGTGCATTCCTGCAGTCCCCGCTACTCAGAAGGCTGAGGCAGGAGGATCCCTTGAGGCCAGGAGTTCAAGGCTGCAGGGAGCCATTGCATTCCAGCCTGGGCAACATGACAGAGCAAGACCCTGTCTCTAAGAAATAAAAAACCTGGGATGGGGAAGAGGTGGGTCATGTGACATGACTGGTGGCTCCCTGTTCTGTTCCCATGGTGTCTCCTAGGGACACAGAGATGTCATTGCAGGCATCTCAGAGACCCCTGCCCATATTTCTATTCCTGATATCCTGTGCCCATCTCCAATGGCCCATGCAAGCATCAACTCTGGCCCCCTGTGAGAGCCATGTTCACCTGAGTACCTTCTTGCACTCTCCCCACCCGCCCTCCAGCTCTCCCCTCACCCCATGCAGCCTGGTTAGTGCACGAGCAGTCACTCAGTGGCCCCTCAATGCCCAGACCCAAGAAAAAAGCAGTCAGAGAAATGTAGTGCAATATGCATTTACCTTCCAGAGCTGGGGTGAGACAACCGGTTGCTTGATAAGCTAAGCAAAAACAGCAAATGGAATCATTAGGCCAAAAAAGCAAGGAGAAGGAAGTAGGCGAAATCAACAGTCGCAAACTATTAATCGGCCACCTTCTGTGGCCCAGAAGCCTTTCTATTAAAAGGGACCAGCTGTCTTAGTTGGCCTGCTCCATTTAGCAAGTGGCCTGACCACCGGACACCAATGTATCTGAAACCAAGAGCTCATTAAATGCAGCAAAGTCCAGGAAAATGGTTAGGCAGAAAGGAGGCCCCTTGGGGCTGTGCTTTGAGAAAGGTGTGTCCCAGGCATTTGAGTCACTGCCCCAGAGAGGGAGGCTTACAGCTGCCTGGCATGTTTCCCCACCCCACAGCATACCAGCCTGGGGGCAAGCTCCTGCTTCAGTTCTTGGCCTTTGGGAGAAAAGAGCCCCATTCCTGGAAATCCCCTGAGAGGCTAGGAGAGAGAGACAGGTGGCTTGGAGAACACCCATCATTAATATGTTAAAGTATGGTTAAAGAGGCCACGCAAGGCAAACCAGCTGGGAGAGTGAAAAAGAGAAAAACAAAGCAGTTAATTCAGCAGGAGCTGGGAGGCACCCAGCTTCATGGTCCACACAAGGCCCATTCTCCCTGAGGCCCTGATCATCCCCCCTGCCTGGGGCAGCTAGGAAAGGCCACTGCTTAGGGCACTAGGATAAGGACCCACATAGGACCACCCCTTACTAGAGTTCTAGCCCACTTACTATGAGCCAACTATTCCCTCTCCCTCCTCCATTCCTGATACAAAAATCTCCAGTGGGGCCCTGGATCCCACCTCCTTGAGAGATGTCAGGGCTCACCCCATCCACACTGCCTTCAGCTGTCCCTATCATGAGAAGAGCTCTCCCTTCCTTATCAGCAGCCCAGCCTGTTCAGTGGTGCTCACGGTCTGTGTCTCTATGAGGATCCCATCTCTTTATAACCACAAAACCAAACCCATCCTTTTCCCTAAAACCTGGCTTCACCCCTAACCCCGGGCTCCTGGGTTGGTAGATACCTCCAGCATTCTCCCAAACTCCTAAGCTCAAAACCTGCCATCTTGGATTACTTCTTCTTCCCCAACCCCAAATCCAGTCCATCCACAATTCTTGGCCCTTCTTTCTCCCCTTCTCTCTACTCTTGTTGTTGCACTACAATCTAGACCCTCAGGGCTCCACACTGATGACCACCTCAACCCCTTCTCCTTAACCCCTCATATAACCCACTTCTCTAACAAAATGCTGCAGTCCCCCAGTGTAGAGGACACTGAGTCTCCACTTCTTGACTGGGCGGGTGGGGGCCTCCCTGATCTACTCACACTCCCACGACAACCAGGTTCCCTCTACTTCCCAATGCTCTGGTGCCACCACAGCCAGGCCTGTCCCTTATTGGCATGAAAAGTCCTTCCTGACCCCTGAGCCTTCCCTTTTGTCCTCCCTGTTTGGAAAGTCCTTCTTCCCTCCTACTGCTCAATTAAATCCTGCCCATCCAGTCTTCAAACCTAGTTCTTGTAGTTTCTGTGGCTCCTAGCATAGTGCTGCACAGACAATGGGTATTTAACTGCTCTTCTACAGAAGGGAGAGAGAGAGAGAGAGAAAAAAAAAAAAAAAGAGAGAGAGAGAGAGAGAGGAAGAAAAAGAAAGAGGAGGAAAGTAGAGTGGGGGGCCTGGGGAGAGAGGGCAGGGGAGAGAAAGGCATTTTTCAAGCAGGAAGGGTGCTGCCCCCCAGAGGGAGCTGCTGCTCCAGAAAAGATGGAAAGGAGTGTGCTAGAGTGCAGCTGCCTCTGCTCGGAACTTTAAAAATCCTCTGGAGGCCGCCTGGGCAGAACCTCCCATGGTTCCAAGGCACTGGCCAACTCCATCCTTTCCTGACCATAAATTTCCTTTGTCCCTCTCCTTTAGGATTGGGAGATTTCTTCTTCTTTGGGTCTGGACTTCTTCCCTGGGAAGGAGAGGGGGAGAGTTAGCTTTCTAATTCAGAAAGGAAAATGACAAGTTCCACCTACACGTGGGTCAAGAAATGAGCTGGGACAGAGGACCCCTCCCCCAGCTCTGCTGCTCCTGGACCAACCATCCTGCCCTCTCTAGGCCTCGCCCTTACATCATTAGTCAGGTCAGGAGAAACCCTGGGCTAATGAAGGCACCTGGTCTTCAGAAGGTGGAAGACCTGCCTGTGCCCTGCTGGCTGGGCCACAGCTAGGCTCAGGGCTGTTACCCAGGCAGGGGAGATCCCCATTTACTGCCTCTGAGGGGGAGCCGAATGAGAGGCATCAAATGTTGGGGCAGAAAAACTTTAAAGAGTTCTTTATGCCACCTTCATCTCACAAAATGGGAATTCATACATAAGCAGAATAGGAAAAAAGAAAAAAGCTGGGGGGTGGGGTTGGAAATCAGGGCCCAGAAAGGAAAGGTCTCCTCATAAAGGAATGAAGTTGGGACTGAGCACAGTGGCTCATGCCTGTAATCCCAACACTTGTGGGGCTGAGGTAAGAGGATCGCTGGAGCACAGGAGTTCAAGATCAACCTTGGCGATATAGCAAGACCCCATCTTTATAAAAAATAAATAATTAAAAACTAAACTTGGCTGGGTGTGGTGGCTCTCGTCTGTAATCCCAGCACTTTGGGAGGCCGAGGCAGGCAGATGACCTGAGGTCAGGAGTTCAAGAACAGCCTGGCCAACAGGGTGAAATCCCGTCTCTACTAAAAATACAAAAATTAGCCGGGTGCGGTGGCAGGCATCTGTAATCCCAGACTACTCAGGAGGTTGAGGCAGGAGGATTGCTTGAACCTGGGAGGCGGAGGTTGCAGTGAACAGAGATCACGCCACTGCACTCCAGCCTGGGTGACAGAGCAAGACTCCATCTCAAAAAACAAAAAAACAAAAAAACAAAAAAACAAAAAAACAAACAAAAAAAACCACCAAATACTAAAATAGTGAAGTAGGCTATGGAAAACCAGAACTGACCACAAAAGCTGGGAGACTCCATCCCTCCCGGCTTTCATCTATTCCGGGACATAAAAGGCCTTTGGACAGTCCTGGCCTGATACCTCAGGTTCCCTAAAAGCCCTAGACAGTCTGGCTGACCCATGCTGAACAGCAGAGCTACAGGTTCTGTGACTTCTCTGAGTCCACCTGGACCAGGGCCTCCAAGAATCCAGGGGGCAGGGGCTTCTGGAACTTCTGAGTATCCCATAAAAGCTAATTAATCATAACTGCTTCTACTCAACTGTTGTGGCCCCTTAACTTCTCTAGCCTACCCACATCTCACTGTCCTATGGGGGTGAGGTCCCAGATGCCGGGTGACCTAGGGGCTGGGCCTACAGTTTGGTGGAACTATCTGCTTGTTGGACCTCTGACCCCAGTGGGCACTGGAAATATTCTTGCACCGACATGGACTAGAACCCTTTCAGAGCTGTGGGGCAGAGAAAGGTGCATGGGGAGATAGGTTCTGGGCCCTCCACCAAGGCCTCTGGTGTTCATCAGCTCAGCTGTCCATCAGCAACCAGGGACAGCCCCTCCTCACAAGGGCCCATGAGAATGATGCCTGGAGAGCTCCATGACACATCTGTGTGAAGGCAGACCCACATGTTGGAGCCAAGAGAGTGGGGACAGAACTTGCCTCTCAGTCAAGGACTCAGGACTCTGGCATAGTCAGGGCTCAGCTGGGCTGGAGTCAATATAGTTGGCAAAATTCTCCAGGGACTGTCTTTCTCCCTGTCTCTAGGGAGCTCTCCCCACCCCCACAGGCAGTGAGGCTGTTCTGAGGGACAGCAGACAGTACGATGGCTCCCTCCAATACAGGTCAGGCCTTGCTAGAGAAGCAGGAACTGCCCCGCCCCCTCCACTCCCCACTGCAGCCACAGTCACATTCTCCCCACTTTGGCCGGAGGCTTTTCCAGAAGCCTGATAAATCTGGCTGTCCTTGTCTCTCAGAACCTCTGGGGGTCTGTGGCTAGCTGGCAGGAGCAGTAAAAAACTCTGCAGGGGCAAAACACAGCCCAAAGTCCAAAGCTTTCTCCCACTCCTCGTGTCTTGCCCCCTCCAGATACTTGATGAAAGAGACTCCTTTTAAGAACATTCCCATTTAGGTCCAAAGGGACTTAAGCCAGCCACTTCTATCCCACCTCTAGCTCTCAGGCTGGCACAAGCTTTGTGCTCATGAGGTGTGCAATTAACATTTATCTATCATACAACTGCACAGTCAGGCAGCAGCACTGTGTCCACTCTCCAGTCCTCTTCCTAAAATCCCAGATCCCCTGCCCTCCCCATTCTGCCTGGTTTTCAAGGTACTATTTCCTCCCTTCCTTCATTGCTGCTGTCTCCAAGAAGGACCCTGGTTCTGCCTCTTCTGTTTGTTCCACTGGTATTGACAAAGGCCAAACACAGGAGGCAAAGCCCAGACAAATCACTGTGACAAGTGTGAGGCTCCCACAAGGGAGTCAGCTTCTCTAAGGGCTGGAATTAATGTCCAAATTTCATTCCGGTTTATCTGTAGAGCCAGGAGTAGGAAAAAGGGGTATTCTTTGCTGGCAGCCAGGGGCCTTGTTACGTCTGACTCAGTCACTACCATCAGTCCTCAGCCCTGCCCCAGACATATGACACCATTTGACGAGTTTTATGCAGAAACTGGTTCCGGTTACATTTGAACTTTCCCAACTCCAAGGTCAATAGGACTCAGCCAATTCACGAGGAAGTGCCCAGGACTTTTCCTGAATGTCCTTGATGCCTGTTTTTATGCTGTTTTAAGCATGGAGAACAAGAGGTCTCTGGACAGCCTCTTGGAGGAATGACTGTTTTCTGTATAATACACAAGCCAAGTTCTCAGGCTATGAAACAACCACTATCTCAACACATTTCCCTTTGGAAAATAGACTCCAGAAGTGGAGGGAAACTGAGCTGCCCACAGGGGGCAGGAAGTGTCTGTCTCCATGGCAATGCGCGTGTCCATGTGCGTCTGTGTGCCTTTGATTGCCTGGATGCGTGTCTATTGTCTTTGTGTCTTTATATCTGTGGGTGGCCTAGCTGCTAAACCAAAGCTTCCATACCTCTTAAACTCTTGGAAGACCAGTGAAGGGCTCATTAGTTCCACACCTCCCTTGGCATTTCCCTTCCCCAAACTGGACAGGGTACTTCGCTCCCTCAGAGCTGCAAGTCCTTAATTCCTGACATCCCCAGACAGTAGGTCATCCCACCCCGTATCTCAGCAGCCCCAACTCAGGTCCTGGGGAGGACCCAAGTTCTGGGCCCAGTAGAGGAACCTTATTTACAAAGGTTTATTTCTTTCTGGGGAACCTCCCCACCCTGAGCTAAGTAGCCCCTACTCTGGGCAGCCCCCCAGCACCCTTTCCCTGTCCCCACCAGTTCTCTCCCGCTCCCTACCTGCCAGGGAGGAATTTCAGCCACTCTGACTTTCCTTATCTCTAACTGTGGAATCCCAAGCCAGGGAATAGCAGGGTAGGGGCGGGGGAGATAAAGAAAGGCTTCAGACCCCATGAAATCACTCCAAAGTGGAGCCTTTGTCCTCTCTTGAGCTTCGCACTGCCAGAGGCCTCAGGCCCGTGGATCAGGAGGGGTCACAAGGGGCTATGAAGGCTATTCCAGCTACCATGTCCCCAGACCCTGGGCCTTGGAGCTGAGAGGGCTCGAGGGCGCAGGCCCAGCCCAGGCCTACAGGGACCAGGCCGCCCTCACACGGACTGATCCCAGGGCCTCGCCCAGCCCAACGCCACCCTGCCCCTCGGTGCCACTCACCTGGTCTCCGGCCGCACGCTGAGCAGGTAGCTCCGGCTGGCTGGGCTGGGGATCCACACGGGGCCGTCGTCCTCACCGTCGCCCCCCGCCCCAGACCGCCCACCCGCGCCCCAGCCCCGGCTGGGAGCCCTCCGCGACCCCATGGCGCCGCCCTCGCCGACCGCCGGCCCTCACCCGCCCCTGCCTCGCCGGTCCTCCAGGCCCCGGCCTCCGGGCCCCTGCCCGCCGCCGCCGCTCCCGCCCGCGGCTGACGCGAGCCCCTATTTATAGCCAGTGGCCAGGCCGTCGTCACCTGCTGCTGTCCCTCCCCCGGCCCGGCCCGGGCAGCGCGGCTCGGAGACTCTGGGGGGGCGCCGGGCCCTAGGCGCCCGCCCCAGAGTTGGCTCCCAGTGCGCTCCCTGCTCCCTCGGCGGGCCTAATGTCTGCAGCAGCGCCTTGTCGGGCGAGGCCCGGGGAGCCTCGGAAGGAAGGCGCAGCGTGAACATGGAGACCAGGACAGGTCCCTTCGTGGAACTCCCAGGACCCGGCTCCCGGCTGGCCTTCCTCCCTTGCTCATGTCCCGTTTTGCATATGAGGGGTCCACGAGGCCTGGCCGGGGCCAGGGAGAGCCAGGTCAACCGCTGGCCAGCTTGAGCTGGACCGCAGGAGACCAGGGAGCCAAAGAACCGGCCCTCTTCCTGGCACCAGCCCTGACTGACCCTCGCCTCGCCTGGCCAGTGGCTGTTGCCCCAGCACGTAGACAAGCCCAGCCACCTTCATTAGTGACCTGAGTCCCTGAGAGGCCGGAACCCCTTGGGATCTCTCTCTCGTCTCCCCCCACACCCCCAGTATCTAGCATAGATTAGGGGCTCAATTAATGCGTCTAGAATAATTGAACTTCCTTCACTCCTTTGGCCTCCATTTCTCAGCACCAGAGGGGGAAATGGGCTGAGTCCTGATGCCCAGAAAAATAATCAAATCATGCAACAATTTCGAAGAACTAGTGCCAAGCCCTTCCGAAACCTGGTCTAAATATTGAAAGTGCCCACACACTTTTTATCCATCCTTCTTTCTGCTCTTTTCCTGAGAGCATCCAGAAAGTACCTGAAGCTAAATGACTGTAATTGTTAGAAAGTGGGAGCAAAGGAGTCCAACCCCTCTGTTTTCGAAGCTGTACTCATCCCCACTACTTTTGGAAATGGCTTTCCCTTACTCTGGGTGGTTCCAATGGCAACTACCTTGTTCCCACATGATCCCACTCCTGGCCTCAGTTGACTGGCGTCAAACTCAAGCCAGGCTATTTACGGTACCCCATCTCCCTGACTATAGACCCTGGCTGTGCCAATAAAGTTCTTCTCTAAAACATTTTTTTCTTTTTTTGAGACGGAGTCTCGCTCTGTTGCCCAGGCTGGAGTGCAGTGTCGAGATCTCAGCTCACGGAAAGCTCTGCCTCCCGGGTTCCTGCCATTCTCCTGCCTCAGCCTCTCGAGTAGCTGTGACTACAGGCGCCCACCACCATGTCCGGCTAATTTTTTATATTTTTAGTAGAGACAGGGTTTCACTGTGTTAGCCAGGATGGTCTTGATCTCCTGACCTCGTGATGTGCCTGCCTCGGCCTCCCAAACATTAAAACATTTTTAACTGGAATTGGGAAAGAAAACCAGACCCTCTGTGGTGGAAAACTGAGCTGTGAGGCCACAGCTGTCAGCAGCCATGTTTCCTGCTGTGTGGAGTAAGCCAGTTTACAGTGAGGAATAAGGAAGCTAGCACAAAGAGAAGCAGAGGCGAAGGACACAGGGTTCTGATGGCTTTCAGGTGCCCTTGTTCAGGTGTTCCTGGGATCCAGCTTTGTCCCTGGCCTTCCTGCAGGTAGGCAGTTCAAACTTTCCTTGGAACCTGTGTACCAAAAAAGTTCTCCCTTCGCTCAAGCTATTTTCAATTTAGGCTTCTGTTGGCAGAAGTATCCTGACTGATACTAAAGTGTTCTCTCCTAGTGATCCCAAATTCATCTCTTGATCACATGTCCCCATTCATTCTTGCTCTTGGCTCTCTGGAGGTGCACAGAATCTTCAGTCATCTACAGGGTGGTCCTTCAAATATCTGAAAACCCACTTGGAGTTTTGGTTCATTTGTTTAAATCATGTATGCTGGTCCAAGCAGCAGAGAAAATAAGCGGGTGGCTGGGAAAGCATGTGTCAGGTGAGGGCACGGGTGCTAGAGGCAGGGGTCACAGGATCTCTGCCTGCAAGAAGCTCACAGTCTAATAGGTGGGACAGGCAACATACGATGCAGGGGAAAACATACAATTCTAAAACTATGTATAGGGAAGCACCAAAGTATAGAGAAAAGGGTGGTTAGTTTTGCCTGGATTAGGAGTTTTACCATGAAGGAAGTAAAGCTTAGAAGGATTTTGTAAATTACATAGGTCCTCACCAAGTAGACTGTTATGCGTGGCGAGCAGGAGGAACTGAATATTCCAGATAGAGGGAACAGTATGTATAAAGATCTGGAGGACTGAAACAGCCTGGTATGCATGTCACTTGAGTATGAAGTAGACAGGAAAGTAGAGAGAGGATGACGAGGCAGGCGCTAGAGCCTTGAGACCCTGCCTAGCACAATGGGGACTCTGGACTTCCCTTCCAGGCCATTTCTCATATGACAATGGATATGATGCCACTAGTTACCCACTCCAACTTACCAATTTCCTCTGGAAAATGTGGCCGCTGTAGAGGTTAGACCATAGCAACCTACAACTAAATTCGCACCTACATTAGTGTGGGTCTGGGCTCCAGACATTAACAACTTCCCTGACAGACAGCCAAATTATTTCACTGACTCAATTTTTCATTGAGCCTGTGAGTTTTCAACAAAAACCACTGTTCATCAAAGTTTTCCCCACTCCTAAAGTCTTTTTTATCCTAAGTATACAATCTTACCTGTTTTTTTTTTTTTAAGTTAAATCTCATCTTCCTACTCTTATACTTCCTTTCCTTCTTATCTGTATCTTTTTAAATTCTGCCCATCATCCAGTGCTAACCTGTAGGAGAATCTACCCTTCCCTTTTTTTTAAGAGACAGGGTCTCACTATGTTGCCCAGGCTGGTCTTGAACTCCTGGGCTCAAGCGATCCTCCTGCCTCAGCCTCCCAAAGTGCTGGGATTACAGGCATGAGTCACCACATCTGGCCAAGATTTGGAACCCAGCTTCCTGCTATCTGCAAATTTAACAAGCACATTTTTTCTGTCTTCAACCAAGTTCATGATAGGGGTCGAGCTGAGTAAGGAATGTCAAGGCACTCAGGGATGGAGAGGTCAATAATGTCTTTCCTTTCCAAGTTTACAGTCTAACAAGAGAAACAGGACGTGGAAAGTGGTGTTGTCTAACAAGGCTAGGAGTCCAGAGACTAACCCTACTCTTCCACTAAGTAGCTGTGTGACTTTGGCCAAGTGGCTTGCCATCCCTGAGCTTTAGCTTTCTCCTTTGTAAAATGGAGTGGGGCATTCCACTTATGATCCTGAAGGTCATAGCTGTTCATTCAGCAAGTATTTATTAACTATTACTTGTGAGGCATTATGCCAAGTGCTGAGGGTACAGAAATGAATAAGCTATAGTCTCTGCCCTCAAGAACCTCTCAAGCCTGAAGAGAGAACAATTAAAACAGAATCATTACAAATCCTGTGATAGAGGTTTGTACATGGTGCTGAAAGAGCACAGAGGAGCACATGCCTTGGTTCTGCACTAGGAAACAATACACGCCAGGCACAGTGACTCACATCTGTAATCCCAGCACTTTCGGAGGCCAAGGCAGGAGGATTGCTTGAGTCTGGGAGTTTGAGACCAGCCTGGGCAAGAAAGTGAGATCCCATCTCTACAAAAAAATTTAAAAATTAGCTGGCCACACATCTGTAGTCCTAGCTGCTGAGGAGGCTGAGGTGGGAGGACCACGTGAGCCCAGGAGTTGGAGCCAGGTGTGGTGGCGGGCGCCTGCAGTCCCAGCTACTCGGGAGGTTGAGCCAGGAGAATGGTGTCAACCCAAGAGGCGGAGCTTGCAGTGAGCCGAGATCGCGCCACTGCACTTCAGCCTGGGTGACAGAACAAGACTCTGTCTCAAAAAAAAAAAAAAAAAAGAAAATCAGAGAGGCATAATGACTTGTGCCAAGGTACCCTACAAGTTGGCCATGAGGGGGACCAGAATCTGGCGCTGGTGGTGGAAGTAGGAAGGGGACCCTGCTTTGCCAGTGTGATTGCACCACTGAACCCCAGTCCGGGTGACAGAGCGAGACCTTGTCTCAAACAAACAAAGTAAACAACACAGTACAAGGCAGTCAGTGTTTACCATGTACTGAGGAAGCACTGTAGGAATTTGTTATTGGTGCCAGGATCCCATCTCCCAGTTATTTCGAACTTCCCAGGGCCCCAGAATAAACTGGGTACTTGTAGTAGGAAAATCTTGGGCCTGTTTTTGTGTTAGTGAACATACTCAGTGAAACAAAGGAAGCTGCTCCCTGTTGGAGAATGGTGGAATCTCCCAGGACACTTAGATCCTACTACGTCAGGCCCTCTCAACAAGGTCTGAGTTTGAACATGCCTTCTCTTTTAACTTAGTTCTGTCCCTTCCCCTTCCTATCTAGCCCCCTCTCTTCCAATGCTAACAAAACTCAAAGGGGACAATCCATCCTCCTTTGAAGCATTGCCCATGGCATGCATTACCCAATCCTTAACCCCAATATTATTAGCTGTCACATTCCTCATGACCATTCACCTGAACTGATGAAAAACAATGGTCACCTCACATCGAGTGCAACCATGGCAGACTCTGGTCCGCTGCCATCATCCTAGCCTCTCTGATGACAGCCAACACCCTGGTAGAGGTCCAATGACCTTGTTGTCACAAAGAACTTCACCCTCACTTCCCTTTCACATCTCAATCAAATGCCCACCACTTGAACCTTGCCACCACAAATTTCTCTACCTCTAAAATGTCAGCTCCCCTGTAGCCTCTATGATCTTGAGCTCCTTGCTGGCTGGCTTCTCTTATCTACCCCCACCTCATCCCCACACACACATGAACACAGTACAAAGTGGACAATAACTTCAACTACACCTTCTTTAGGGAACTCATTGCACTCATCCTTGATCTTCTACTAAATTTACCTGGCAGGTTCCTAACCTGGAATTAGGTTGTGGGCTTCTTCCTGCTCCAGGGTTGCCCAACATTTCTCAGGCAGGGTGGCAATCCTTTACATTCTAAGTCCAGTCTCAGGCAGCGTGGCAATCCTTTTATATTCTCCCAAGCTTACCCTTTCCTTTCCCTACAGCAACTGTTCAAACAAGATTACAGTCTCCCCTTTGCCTTCCTCACTTGTGATGGTCAACTGTTCCTTCAAAATACAGGGGAAAGTGAGACCATTGGGCAAGAACATCAACTTTAAAGGAGGACAGGCTGTCAATATCATCCCTGTGTCACACTAACCTCGGCTAGCTACATTTTCTTCCCTTCCAAGGCTCTCAAACTTCTGGCCTTCTCAGCAGCCCTACTGTAACAGCTCTCTGCCTCCCCTGCCTGGCCTCCTTCCCTCCTTCCCCACAGTCTATGATGATGATCAAATGTTTGCTTCTAAAATATTTACCCATCTTTTTTTTTTTTTTTTTGAGACAGGGTCACCCAGAGTCACTCACTCTGTCACCCAGACTGGAGTGCAGTGGTGTGATCATGGCTCACTGCAGCTTTGATCTCCTGGGCTCAAGTGATCCTCCTGCCTCAGCCTCCCAAAGTGCTAGGACTACAGGCACACACCACCACACCCAGGTAATATATTTTTAAAAAAATTTTTGAAGAGATAGTGTCTCCCAATATTGCCCAATCTGGTCTCAAACTCCTGGGCTCAAGCGATCGTCCTGCCTCAGCCTCCCAAAGTGCTGGGATTACAGGTATAAGCCACCATACCTTGCCAGCCCCATCTTTCACTTCACTATCAAACTTCTCAAAAGAGCCCAAGGGGAGCCAGTCACAGTATCAAGCAATAATGGGTTAACACAATTGGGTTATGAAGTTGCAAACACTGGCCTCCTGTACAAGGTAGAAGCAACCCAATGACTAGAGCTGAAACATAAGGTCAGAGACAGGCCCACCCAATGACAGTGGCCAGATGCCAGTCCCTGAGGGTTAACGTGGAACTCCTGGGGACCACAGTTGGTCCCCAGGCTTGGGACAGAGAGAGACTAAGGGGAGACACATGTGGCCCCATCTGTGTGGAGGAGAGGAAATGGCGGGGGGGGAAGGGACTGATCACAGTTGGCAGGAAGGGCCATCATTAAGAACTCCCTACACCTCTATTCTCTCCCTGCCACTGCAGGGCCTCACCATGGTCTGGTCAACCCTGGTGGAGGGGCCCTAGCCTGTGCCTGCACATTTCCAGGGAGTGAGAATGTGCT